TTCCCTCCCGACCGGCTAAGCCAGTAAAGACCTCGGGTTCCCTTATCAGGACTCTGGTCTATTTGGTACTAAGGGGGCCAGAGAAGTCTGGAACTTTCTGCAAGGCATCTAAGTTAGTAGACTAAATCTCCCTATTACTTACCTTAAACAAAACCATCACTGGAAGGGGAATTTTAAGGATACAAATTGATTAATATCAGATCGGAACGGATAGTTGTTTTCGGGGGGTGCCTACCTTTGTGCCGTAGACTTTCGGACACGCTCCCTGGGGCGGGGCTTTATCGGCCTTGACGGCTGCCGACTGGGCCTAATTACACTTGCCTCCGCAGGACAGTTACCAGTTTCCTGGACTCCAGTTTCCCCTCTCCCCAGGGATTCAGGCCTTATTCAGCCCTTCACCCTTCAACAACGCGTGGCCTTGAAAGAGTGAGTCACCTCTCTAGAGAATTAGAGCTCTAAAATGGTAATCACTCCAGAGCTCATCTCATGAGGGGTACTCTTTCTTTAAGATATCTTGTCTTGTGGGCCTTCCACCCTTCCGATACCCTCGAAGGATACTTCTCAGTAACCTGCTAAAACTGAGATGCTCAGGACTCACTCTGAACTCCTAGTGTTAGGGTGAGGGACTTATTTCTTTACCCTTCCTCCCCTTAGACTTACACTAGATTCGCCGGATAGGCAATTGGTTCCTTAGTAGACCCAGACTTTCGTGGGTAAATAGGTTTGGTTTTCCAGTAAGACCTATCATAGATATTCCCTTCCAACCGAGGTTCTAGGGAATTCCCCCTGGTGATCGTATTGAGCCTGACGGAGGGCACATTACACAGGATTGGCTACCCTTTTACATACCCCCGCGTTTGCCAGGGTTTCTTCGGATGGAATCAGTGTTCCACCTTATCTACTAAAGTGGCGGTTTTAACTCAGTGCCTTGGAAATCTCCCGATACCTCTCTTCTGATTTCTTCAGGGAACAATACAGTAAATGTTGATATAGCCTCTCTTGAGGGCTTTTAACTCTCAGTTGTTTATTCCACACCCCTCCACATCGATGATTATGAATAAATAAGGTAAAATCATGCAGGCATGGTAATGAGTTCTTGCCATCATCTCCACTGGTTTGCCCACCACCTTTCAACACATCGGTCTCATAGGTTATAGGGCTCATCCAATCTCGATTAAGCAACTCCCATGGATTCCATATTATGAGCCCCTGGCACAGACGACTTAAGCTAAGCCTTCCCTCAGGGCGAAATGTCTTTAGACCTTTGTACCATCCTGTCTTATCCTTCAGTCGGGCCCAGACAGTCTCCCTTACGACTTTCTTCTGAGTTATTTCATCTTCACAATATTTGTGATAGCTTTGATACAGCCCTTCCCCCTTAGTATTAATGTAATATCCTAACGTGGTTAGGCAATTACTCCATCTCTCTTTCTTTGGATGAAGACCCACACCTGAGGGTAGGACCTCCTCAATCCTTGATTGTAGTTCTTTCTTTTCTTGGACTCCCCAGTGAGCGGGCGTACCCACCACCAAGTTATCCGCATACCTTACAAATGGCAACCCTCTACTCAGCAGTAAATCATCTACCGGAGTCGCCGCCAGATTTGACCATAAGGGACTTAGTACACCCCCTTGCGGAGTTCCCTTTGAGGGAACACCCACTAAGCTCTCACCTAGGGGATGACCCTCCCTAATAGGAGCAACGAGGGTACTATACAAATAACTCTTAACACTAGGAGGGAGAGGCTGCTTACTTATAATACCCCTTAAGGTTTCGTGAGGTATTGAATCAAACCATTTTCTTATATCCATATCCAGGAGCCGGTAGCCAGGTTGGGTTAGATATTTCTCACGAAGTTTTCTCAGAAACTGACTCAGTCCCAAATCTCGATTGTTTCTTATACGGAATCCAATACTGTTCTCTCGTTGGGTTACCTGATTCGTTATTTCTAATATAAGTCTTATCACTTGTTGAGTTATTTTGTCCAAATGGGTGGGTATTGAGATTCCCCTAAACTCCCCATCGGACTTAGGTATCCATACTCGCTTTGAAGGGCTACATTCACGAACGCCAAAGAGGCGCCACTGTACTTCCTTCCTTATCATGTCGAATGTGGACTTTGTTATAGGTTCTTGACTATAATCCCTTCCCACCCCCCGGCTTCCTGCTTTGCTTAACACCATTATAGTAGCAATTATGGAAAGAGAAGATGACATCTTAAGGAGGACATAAATTCGTCTCTTTAATTCTCGGTTGGCACTCACTGATGAAAGTGACGTCAAGTGGCCAACCGCTCTGAATTGTCTTTCTAGGTATTTACTGGATTTTCTTATATTCGGGTAATCGGAAAGCTTCCTTTGCTTGACATTTAACACTGAGCCACTAGTCTCTAGGACTGCATTATCATGCTTCAGTGAAGCCAGTCTTGCGACTGACTCTGCCATACAGTTGCTATGCGACATATTATCCTATCATTGAATTCAAGTTACATACAAATAGATTCAAACAATTGTGCGGTGGTAACCGAGACGTTACCCCAGCTACCATCGGCTACCCTTAGCTCCCTTACTTAGGTCCTTCCCTTACTCCACCTTAACCTCTTCCCTCCCGACCGGCTAAGCCAGTAAAGACCTCGGGTTCCCTTATCAGGACTCTGGTCTATTTGGTACTAAGGGGG